ATTATGAATGGAGTTGCTTTCCTGATTTCAACCCTGCTCTTCTTATTGTTGGCATACAGAAAAGCCATTGATTTTTGAGGGTTAATTTTATACCCTGCTATTTTGCCAAAGTTTTGAATCATCTCGAGGACTTTGGGAGTGGAGTCTGGAATCTTTAAATATAAGATTATGTCATCTGCAAAGAGGCAGAGTTTTACTTCATCTTTTCCTATTTGGATCCCTTTTATGTTTGCATCTTATTGCTATAGCTAGGCATTCTAATACCAAATTGAAGAGAAGTGGAGAGAGTGGACATCCTTGTCTCATTCTGAGTTTAAGGAAATGGCTTTAGTTTTTCACTGTTAAGTATAACGCTGGCTATAAGTTTGTCATATACAGCCTTTATTGTATTGAGGAATGTTCCATGGATTCCTGATTTTTCCAGAGCTTTCATCATAAAGGGGTGTTGGATCTTGTCAAATGCTTTTTCTGCATCTATTGAGATAACCATGTGGTTCTTATCCTTGCTCTTGATGATGTGATGAATTATATTAATTGGTTTGCATATATTGAACCAGCATATATTGAATCCTGTTTGATCGTAGTGTATAATTTTTTTGGATGAATTGTTGAAGTTGATTGGCCAAAATTTTGTTGAGAAGTTTTGCATCAATGTTCATCAAAGAAATGGTCTATAGTTTTCTTTCTTTGATAAGTCTTTTCCTGTTTTTGTGGTGTGGGCTATAATGACTTCATAGAAAGAGTTTGGTAGTAAACTTTCTCTTTCATTTTCATTGAAGAGTTGGAGGAGTGTTGGTGTGAGTTCTGCTTTGAAGACCTTGTAGAATTCTGCTGTAAATCCATCTGGTCCTGGGCTTTTCTTAGAGAGGAGGTCCCTTATTGATGTTTCTATTTCTGTTTGTTTTTTTTTCTGTCGGTTGTGGGGCTTGAACTCTGGGACTTGCCGCTATCCCTCAGTTTTTCAGTTCAAGGCGAGCTGAGCCACAGCGCCACTTCTGGTTTTCTGGTGGTTTGTTGGAGATAGGAGTATCACTTTCCTGCTGGGGCTGGTTTTGAAACATGATCTTCAGATCTCAGCCTCCTGAGTAGCTAGGATTACAGGTGTGAGCTACCAGTGCTGACTTGAAATTTCTATTTCAGTGCTTGATATGGGTCTGCTAAGTTGGTTTAACTCGTCTTGGTTTAGTTTTGGCCTGTCGATATTTGCTAGGAAATCATCCATTTCTTCTAAGTTCTCAAACTTATTAGCATAAAGGTTTAAGAAGTATTCCCTTATAATGTTCTGAATCTTGGTTGTTTCTGTGGTGATATTTCCATTCTCATCTCTGAGTTTGTTCATCTGGGTGTGTTCTCTTCTTTTTCTGATAAGATTTGCTAAGGGTGTGTAAATTTTGTTAATTTTTTGGAAGAACCAACTCTTTGTTTTGTTGATTCTTTCTATGTTTTTTTGGATTCTAATAGGTTTAATTCTGATTTAATTTTAATTATTTCTTTCTGTCTCCTGGACTGGGGGTTTAGCTTGCTGCTGTTTTTTAAAGAGGTTCAGATGTCTCATTAAATTGTTGGTTTCAGATTTCTCCAATTTGATGTAGGAACTCAGAGCTATAAACTTGCCTTTGAGTACTGCCTTTGCTGTGTCCCAGAGGATCTGGTAATTTGTGTATTCATTTTTGTTGAATATCATGAATATTTGAATTTCCTTCTAATCTCTTCCATGACCCACGAGTGATTCAACAGTGTGTTATTCATCGTCCATGTGTAACAGGACTTTCTTTGGTAGCTTTTGGTGTTGAGTTCTAATTTTATGCCCTTATAATCTAAGAGAATACAGGTTACAATTTCAGTGTTTCTGAATTTGCACAAATTTGCTTTTTGACCTAAAATGTGGTCTATTTTGGAAATAGCTTTTTTTTTTTGGTTGGTCATGGGGGTTCTTCTCTGGGCCTGGGCACTGTCCCTCAGCTCTTCAGCACCAGGCTAGTGTTCTACCACTTGAGCTACAGTGCCACTTCCTGAAATAGAATTTTATCAGTGAAATAATGGCTATTTATGATCATCTTCTTATTAAGCCATTCACATTTTCTTCTGATTAACTTACTAACTCACTCATACTGCTCATATGTTTTGTAAATATTTCTAGAATTTGGAGATAAATATTCTTTTTTGGGGGGAGGGGAATGGAGTCATGGGGCCTGAACTCTGGACCTTGGCACTATCCCTAAGCTTTTCAGCTCAAGGCTAATGCTCTACCACTTGAGCCCCAGCACCATTTCTAGCTTTTTCTGCTTATGTGGTGCTGAGGGATCAAACTCAGGTCCTCATGAAGGCAAGGCAAGCACTCTACCACTGATCCACCTTCCCAGTCAGAGATACATATTCTTTGGTACTTTTGCCTCTGGGTTTTTTCTTTTTTGAAGTGTATAATTTTATTTTTTATTCTATCTTATTATATTATTGTTAAGATGTTGTACAGAGGGTTTATAGTTACATGAGTAAGGCAAGTAATGAGTACATTACTTGTCAATCATTGTTACCCCTTCCCTTCTTTGTTGTTGTCCCACTATCTTTTCGCTCCCCCATCTCCTATCCTTCCTCCCCTGCTGCCTGAAGTTGTAAAGTTTGTTTCTGATATACTGTCCTGTGGGTACGTTTGTTGCAATGGATCTTCCTGTGTCCTTGTTTCAGCGTTCTGTTTTTACCCTTCCTCTCCCAAAATTAGACATATGTATATACCAGATGCTGTGTACCAAAATCGAGTATAATGACACCAGGGGATATGCCATAGGGAAAGACATACAAAGAAACAACAAGAAATAATAATAACATCACATGGTATACTTAAAGCAATAATAATATAAGTAGACCTCTTGTGTCTATATCTTGGGGTTCATTTCACTTAGCATCCTCTTATATGGTTATTTGTTCATATTTTTTGAGCTTATCAGATAAGATTATATGTAATTATTGCAAATAAGGGAAACTGGGACCTAAATTTCTTTGGGACTGGGTAACTTTACTTAATATGATTTTTTTTCCAAGTCTTTCTATTTACTGACAAATGGGGTGGTGGTGTTCTTTCAATGGAAGCATAGAATTCCATTGTATATATGTACCACATTTTCTTGATCCACCCATCTACTGAGGGGCTTCTGCGTTGGTTCCATATTTTAGCTATGGTGAGTAATGCTGCAGTAAACATTGTTGTGCTGGTAGCTTTAGTATGGCCTTATTTGTGATTGTTTGGGTAAATGCCCAGAAGTGGGATTGCTGGGTCATGGGGGAACTCTATGTAGAGTCTTTTGAGGAACATCCATAATGATTTCCAGAGTGGTTGGACAAGTTTACACTCCCACCAACTGTGCAGTATGATTCCCTTTTGGCTACATCCCCTCCAGCTTCTTTCATTAGTAGATTTTTTTATTATAGCCATTCTAACTGGGGTGAGTTGGAATCTGAGTGTTGTTTTGATTTGCATTTCTTTTATGGCCAGAGAAGCTGAGCATTTCTTCATGTGTCTATTGGCCATTCTGATTTCCTCTTCAGAGAAGTCTCTCTTTAAGTCTTTAGCTCACTTATTAATCGGGCGGTTGTTTTTTTTGAGGATTTGTTTTTGGGTGACTTAATTTTTTGAGTTCTAACTATTTTTTTTAGATGTTAGGTCCTTGTCTGTTGTATAGCTAGTGAAGATCTTCTCCCAGTCTGTGGGCCTGAAAGAGTTTTTGAATGAAATCTCAGTTAAGGCAATATTGAACTCTTGAATATTGAGGGGTATAGAATAATTTATTAACATGATTTGTTTTTTTAATTAGTTGTAGGGCTTGATCTGTGGGCGTAGGTGCTGTTCCTGAGCTCTTGAACTCTTCAGCTTAAGGCTAGCACTCTACCACTTGAGTCACTCACAGCACCACTTCCAGTATTCTGGTGGTTAATTGGAGATAAAAGTGTCACAAACTGGGGCTGGGAAGGTGGCTCAGTGGTAGAGCGCTTGTCTTGCATGCTCGAGGCCCTGGGTTCAATTCCTCAGCACCACATAAGAAAAAAGCCGTAAGTGGTGCTGTGGCTCAAGTGGTAGAGTGCTAGCCTTGAGCTGAAGAGCTGAGGGACAGCGCCCAGGCCCAGAGTTCAGGCCCCATGACCGGACCCAAAAAAAAAAAAAAAAAAGTGTCACAAACTTTCCTGCCTGAGCCGGCTTTGAACCATGATCCTCAGATCTCAGCCTCCTGAGTAGCTAGGATTACAGGTGTGAGCCATTGGCGCATGGCTAACATGAGTTTTCAAATGGCAAAATGGCTTACATTGTTAGGTTTTTAAAAATTTTAAAACCTTAAATTTTTATTTTTGAATATTCCTATTATTTTTCTGTTTTCTTTTGAGAAAGAACTATTAAGTTGACACCATACAATTTTGAGCATCAGAAGTTTTGTTTCGTTTTTATGCCAGTAGTTGAGCTTAAATCCAGGTTTCATATGTCTCTTAGTTTTTTGCTTACTCTTGGTCTTCTAGTACGTTAGCTTCAGCTCCACTTCTGACTTTTTGCTGGTTAATTCCAAATAATAAGAATCTTGTAGGTTTGTCTGTCTGTGCTTGCTTAGAAAAGAGATCCTCAGATCTCAGCCTCTGAGTAGCTAGGATTATGGGCATTGGGTTTCAGTATCAGTTTTTAATACAATTCAATAAATGTTCTGTAAACAGTATAGTATATGATCTTATATACCCTCAATAGAACTTCTTAGAAAATATCTTTTAGATTTGGATTGCGTGAATACAGCGGAAGCTGTATTTGTTTGGCATAGTGGAATGCTCATCTCTGTATGACAACTTTTAAAATATAACCACTTTAATTTATTGTCATAACGCCAAAGAATTCTATAAGCGTTTGGCTTTTATTAGAAAAACCATCTTGAAGCATGGTTTATTTCCTTAAAGTTTGTAAAACATATCTTGAACCTCATTATAAGGAAATTCACTATGATTAATCTGCCTTTTTTCTTTTGTTTTAGACAGCAGTACTTCAAATTAATTGATGAATGTGTCTCCCAGATTGTATTGCACAGAGATGGAATGGATCCAGACTTTACCTATCGAAAAAGACTAGATTTAGATTTAAGTCAATTTGTAGGTGAGTCTTTCTCTGTTCCTTAAATGGAAATAACTATTTTTTTTTTTTTATTTAATGGATTAGCCTAGATTGTTTTCATATTGATGCTAAAGCTTTTTCCTTTTTCCTTAGGATTCAATGATTTACACTGTTTTAGACAACAATGGTTTATGAAATTGTAGCATTATTCTGAGGTAGTGTTGTTTATTTTCAGGATAAATAAAAACTGCCAAGTTTTAAGAATTTTATTTGCAGTCTTAAGAATATCAGTTTTAGCTGATTACCAATGGGTGGTTCAAGCCTGGAGACAGATCTGAGGATCATGGCCCAAAGCCAGCCTTGACAGGCAAGGCTGTGAAACCCTTTTTTTTTTTTTTTTTTGGTTGTGGGGCTGAACTCTGGGCCTTAGTGCTCAGCTCTTCAGCTCAAGTCTCGCATTCTACCACTTGAGCCACAGCACCACTTCCAGCTTTTTCTGTGTATGTGGTGCCTCATGCATGCAAGGCAAGCGCTCTACCACTGAGCCACGTTCCCAGCCCACCCTGTGACATTCTTATTCCCTACAAACCACCAGAAAACTGGAGGTTATGCTGTGGCTCAAAGTGGTAGAGTGCTAGCTTTGAGCAAAACAATTCAGGGACAATTCCCAGGACTGTGAAAAAAGAAAAGAATATTGACTGGGAAGGTGGCTCAGTGGTAGAGCTCTTGCTTTGCATGCATGGGGCCCTGGGTTCAATTCCTCAGCACCACATAAGCAAAAAGAAAAAAGCTGGAAGTGGCGCTGTGGCTCAAGTGGTAGAGTACTTGCCTTGAGCTGAAGAGCTGAGGGACAGCACCCAGGCCCAGAGTTCAGGCTCCACGACCAGACCCAGAAAAGTAAAAACAATAAAAAAAAGAAAAGAATATTAATTTTTTCAAATGTTTTTCTTGAGTTTATCTTTTTACCATTCTTTGTTAACCAATGGAATATGTGCATTAAGTACTTTTGCTACTAAAGTATAATAAAAAAGGCTTTTCTGGTGCTTGGAATTGTTAAAAAACTGGCTTTTAAATTTTCTTTCTTATTTGAAAGATTGTCATACAAACTGGCTACTTTATCTTCCATGTTTAGAACACACTTTCTTAAAAATAAAATGAAGTGAGCCTATACTTTGAATGACTGACAAAATTTGTTGCCAATGAGAAAATTAGATCTCTTAAGTGGAAATTGGGATTTTTGAAAACATATCCACTGCTATCAGTTTGACAGCTTCTCAATACTATTTTTTCCCCCTGAGTAGGTTAGTGGAGAGATTAACCTCTATGATTATATTCATATTATATATAGAGATGTGTCAACATTTGGAAGATGTGCTGTTGTCAGCAAACTACTCCTTTCCAAATGACCATTGTAAACTCCATTGGTAGAAAATCTGGTTTTAATATTAATTTACTATATTATTAGTTTAGAAGTGATGTACAGAGGGATTACAATTACATGAGTCAGGTAATGAGTACATTTCTTTTTCTACAGTATTTTTTTTTTTTTGTGGGGGGGTCCGGTTTTGGGGCCTGACCTCTGGGCCTGGGTGCTGTCCCTCAGCTCTTCAGCTCAAGGCTAGCACTCTACCACTTGAGCCACAGCGCTACTTCCAGCTTTTTTTCTTTTTGCTTATGTGGTGCTGGGGAATTGAACCCAGGGCCTCTTGCATGCAAGGCAAGCGCTCTACCACTGAGCCACCTTCCTAGCCCCTTCTACAATATCTTCTATTCCCTCATGCTTTCCAAGTCCTTCCCTCTCATCTCTACCTAGGAGTTGTATAGTTAGCATTCATCAGTGTCCATGAGCTCCACTGCTGTATTTTTTAACCCTTTTTCCATTGAATTCTGTATTGTCCCCCTAATACTTCCAAAGATGTACACTTGAGTACACCAACTTAAAAGTAACATGGTATAGAATGTTCATTGATAGGTGTAATTCCACTGTAACTAAGATGTACCATTTTTAAATGTTGTTGTTACCTCAGACTGTGCATAATGATTTGAAAAGGCTATTCAAGCCCACTGTTGATCTCTGTTCTAAACCAATGGACAGTGGGCTGTATAGTGAGTGAATAAGAGACTGGTTAATATTAGTGATATTGATATAGAACATGCTGATTTTCAGTGCTGACAAACAATTAGAAGATCCTGAGGGTAGGAAAGTGAACACAGAAATTGAGAAAAAATGCACTAAATATATAGCCAACTAAAATGTGGAATGATGCAAAAAAATTCTTTATTCTTATTATAAAGGTGATATACATAGGGGTTTACAGTTAAATAATGCAGGTAAATAGTATATGGCTTCTTGTGGAATGATTTTTTACTATTATGCTAAAAATATTCCATATGGAAACTAGGAATTTCTTTTCTTGAGTATGTTTTCCATTTTTTTTTTGTGAATTGGGACTTGAACTCTGTACCTGATGCTTTCACTCATTGGCTAATGCTCTACCAACTGTGCCGTGCCTCTATCCCCAATCTCAGTTTTTGTCATGGAACTGTTAAAAAGGAAACATTATCTTTGAATATTGCTTGCAAAAGTTACAGATCTTTACGTAATATAAGCTAATTCTTCTGAGTATGAAATTTAGAATTAACTCTTACACTTAAATGTAGGAGAGAATGTTAGTATATTTTTATGAATAGATGAGAAGACTATGTGACATTGGTAAGTAGAGAAAAGTCTTGGAAACTGTAGGGCACAGATAATCTAATATTTTGTAGTAGAGACTTGGAAGAGCCTGTCTCTGTAAGAGGAATCAGATGGTTAAATATTTAGTGTTCTGTAGACAACCATTTTACTAAAATGGTTGAAATTTAGGATTACATAGACAAGAACATTTTTCATTTCCAGAAGTTACTTGTCATGTATTAAAGAGACAAATCAAAGAAAGAACATTGCACATTTAGTTTTAATTAGGAAGCTAAACAGCAGAACAATTGAAGGAACTATAGGAGGTTGCATTTAGTTTCTGTGTTCAGTTCCTCTTTTTTATGAAAGGGGTTGAAGAGATGTTGATAATCTAGGAAAATAGGAACTTCACTTTGCATTTATCTTTGCTTTCTCAGATAATAATTATGTTTATGGTCCATCTTGTAGATCAGAATCCATTGAATAGGTTGTTGATCATTTTGTACCAGAGTCCTCCTCTTCTATGCAATGCTCTAGGTTCAGGGAGAAAAGAAGTAAAGCAAAATTATAGGTCATATTTAAAATTTATAGGTTTTAATTCTCTAAGTGAAGTGCATAGAACATGGAACCTGGCTCATACTTTCTGAGGCTTAGGTTTGTGGCCATTAGGTGAGAGTTTATTTATGAAGTAATGTAGTACACATACTACCAGTATGGTCATGAAACATAAATAAGAAGTGGGACTGCATTGAGGAAATACAACAATTTGACATTTTCCTTTCAGTATAAGCTTTTCTGTAAAGTATCTTAAAACCACATTCATATGTTAGTTTTCTTCAGTAAAAGAAGACATAAGATAAAGTGTGGTAATTCCTTATGAGTTGTTTCTTCTAATAGTCCATCTTGTGTTAATATATAACCAGATCATTATAGATGAGGATTTATTATAACCTAAACTATTATTTTAATGAGTTTTTTGGGTTCAAAGAGGATGTCTTGAAATATTGAATTGCTGGGTTAGAGAAAATGCTATTTAAAAATTGAATACCTATTGTCCACCAGCAAAGTTTCCAAGGTATGCTTCCGTTGTTAGATAGAAGAATGTTTCAAAATTATAGCTTCTTTGGTGTTTGCTGTGAATTGTAATTAAGACTTTTAATTTTGTGTGTGTGAGTGTATGGCTGGACTGAGGCTTGAATTTGGCCTGTACTTGCCAGGTTGATGCTCTACCACTTTCTTTTTTTTTTTCTCTCTCTCTAATTTTATGTTTATTAGTTTTCCCTGTTTTTTGGATAGAATGCCATCATCTCTTTAGCTTTTAAAATATTTGTTGATTAATGACAGAAACCTTTAAAAAGTATGGTAAAATTGGAATTTTTCCTCTAGCCTGATAGCTTAAAATTTAAATATTTTTCTTTCTCTTTTCCTTTTTCTCTTCCTTTTCCCTTTACTTCTTTTCCTTTTCCTTTTCTTCATTTTAGTGGCACTGAGATTTGAACTAAGGATATGTTAGACACAACTACCACCTTTTTTTCATGCTGATTATGTTTTAAGATTTTATTTTGTTTCTTTATCTTTTGTGCCAGTACTGAAAATCAGGGGCCTGGGCACTGTCCCTTACCTAGTTTGTGGAAGGCTGATACTTTACCACTTGCACCACAGCTCCACATCCAGCTTTTTTTTTTTTTGTTAATTGGAAACAAGAGTATCACAGACTTTCTTGTCCCTGCCAGACTGAATTCTCATCCTCAATTCTTAGCTTTCTGAGTAGTTAGGGTTATGGGTGTAAGCCACCAGAACCCAGGTTTGCACCATGTGCTTTGAATATGACCTACCTATTTTAGGCTTTCTGTTTTAGCTAGGATATAGATGTGCGTTATCATGTCCAGCTTCGTCTACCCAAACCGGCATATTTTCTTTCTGGTCTGATTTTCTTCCCAAGCAGTCCTGGAACTACAGTCATCTCAGTCTCCCATGTAGCTGGGATGATAGGTGTTTGCTGCTATGCCTAGCTATGGGCTGAGAAAGAGGCATTGTGTACTTTTTTAGTCCAGACTTGTCTCAAACCATAATACTCCCATTTTTTACCTCCTAAGTAGTCACATTTACAGTCATGTACCCAACTACTTTTTTTTATGTTTTCTAATATTTCTGATATTTCTCCATTTTGTTTATTTTACCAGATATATCTAACATTTTGGAATAATTTTTTATAGTTATTTTATATAGACATGTTATAATGACTTGTAAATTGTTACTGTAATTTTAGATGTTTGCATAGATCAAGCAAAATTAGAAGAGTTTGAAGAAAAATCATCAGAACTTCATAAAAAGGTGAGTAACTGACTAATTTTGTAAGATTGCATAAGGAACCATTTAGGAATTCACTTGTTATTTCCCATGTCATCTTTACTTCCCTCAGGTAGCACATTACTAATGGAGAACATCCTAGACCACTGTATTTTTTTAAAAGTCTTCAGTCTTCTCTCTTAGCCTTTGCCCTTTTTTGCTCTTGTTCTTCTCCTGATTTATTTTTATTCTTATATTTGTTATTATCTGACATGAGCTATAGTTTATGTGTATTTAGCTATTTCTTCAACTAGAGCTAATTTTGACTATCTTTGTTATCTATGCAGAAATGTAATAATTATTATTGGCTCTTTTAAGAATAAAAAGAGTTCTTTTGAATGATTGAATAGCTAAAATATCAAAAAGATTAAGTTTTAAGAAATATAGTTAGATTGAAATCATATCTTAAATCTTTGACAGTTAACTTGTTATTTGTTTCACTTTATTATATTGTCATAAAGCTTCCTTTTCAGTTTACTTATCAGATATTACTAGATTCATTGGTTTCTTTCTCGTAGTATTTCTGACTATCTTCCCATTTCTTACTTTAAAGTGGTAGTCTGTCCTTTTGTTTCTGGCCTACTATAAACCTCATAGACTAAAAACAATAGTGTTCTTTCTATTATTAAGGTGTTGTACAGAGTGTTTCTCATGGACTTCTTGATTGGATTAGTAATGTTTTAAATGTTCTTTCTGATTTGAATTTTCGAATTGATTGAATAATAACTTTCTGATTTGAATTTTTGCATTGATTGAATAATAACTACTAATACTCCAACCATCAAGTAAACATTTACTAAGTCACCTGCTATCTATTTGATGCAGCAAGCCATAAATAAATATGCTAATTTTTAAAATAAACTTTGAGGACCATACATAATTGCAAATGAAAGGCACTTTTTCATTAAGTTATTTCTGAAGAACATCATAGATGACCTGAGAAGTTCTAAAAGGTTCATTTCAAGCCTTTGGGTACAGGCTAGGGTTAAATTTTGAATATGAGTTTGTCATTCCCCTTTAGTGGCTGAGTTCAGTGGGGAAACCAATTAATGAATCATTTAACTATCAAAAATGTTATTATTTGATGTTCATATTGTAGGGTGACCCTTTTCCTAGCTAAGTTTATATTTTAATTTCAGTAAGTCCTTTCACTCCTTAGTGTAATGTACTAGAAAACTTTTAAGTACTAGATTAGTGTAGTATAAACCGTTCTCATATATAAATCCCTATGTTATCCTTTTTACACATATATTGTATGTAAATGGAGGTAAATAGCACTGGTTTTGTAGATTTCTTTAAAAGTATATGTTTTAAGTATAAATAAAAGAAAGACCTTGTTCAAGGTTAGTTGTATCTTTTTTTTCTTTAAGCAAGAAATTCTATGTCTTAGGTATATTCAGAAAAATATTGTATGCTCCATAAAAGATTTCTATTGCCATGCCATTTTGTATATATCAGCAAAAAGTTTGTTCTGATAGCTTTATAAGGACACATGTAAATATGTTGCTTTAGGCAGGAAGCTATCACAGTTGCTAGACACATTCTTTATTTAGGTGCATAAATTTGAAAAATGAAGACCAGAAATGTCAGAAAGTATATAGAGAATATTGAATTATCAAGCTTCTTGTACAGAGGCACTAATACATTTACCCTAGGGAATGAAATTAAGCAGAACTTCAACCTTAACTGTGTTGCTTGACATTTCTGAGCGTAATTTTGTAAGTGTAATATTTCTCTAGCAACTGTTTTTGGAACAGAGGGCTATCATATCAGGTTTACAAGGTATGTTTTTAATGGATACTTATTATATCCCTCAGGCTACAGTGATTTGACTGTAGATATTAGAAAAATCTAAAGCAAAGTTTATGTCAGTTCTGATTCTTTTAGAGGGGAAGATGTGAAATATTTTTCTTGTTAGGAAATATAGTTTTATTATAGACAAGTTAATTGTTTAAATGTTCATGGAGGTACTAATTCTGACAGTTTTGATTGTTTCTCTGGTCTCCTAAGTAATCACCTTTCCCATCTTTCCTTCTGAACTTTAGAGATAAGCTAGTATACATACCAATGTTTTCAAAAAGCTTCATTTTTATTCTCATTAAAATAGCTCTTTTTTTTCTTACAGTACAGTAGTGAACTTTATTTTACTTGTAAAAGAAAGGATAAGAGCAGATGACCTCTCAAAGTTTGTAATACTGGCAGAATAGACAAGATTTAGTTTAAAATCCTGACATAACTTTTTTTTTTTATTATTGTGAGAATACCGTATAGAGGAGTTACAATTACATGGGCAAGATACCGAGTATACTGACATAACTTTTCAACATATACAAGAAGATTTGACCAAAGGTGGTTTCATCACTACATTCAACTATTATTTATTGAGTTTAATTATAAATGCAAGGCCTTGGCAAGATGATGAATTAAAATAGACAAGATGTTTTTGCTTTTGTGAACATGTAACTTGATGTTATTAATGTGTATAAGGTACATCTTAATATTTTCAGGTTGCTGTATGAGAATTGCTTTGGTAGAAATGCCCATGTGTCATAAAATTCTATAGGTGAGATTCTTCATTCAGTATTGACTATCCAGGGTATATTATTTATCTGAGAAAGTGATACCTCTGTGTTTCCTGAGGGATCTATGTACAGTAACATGTTTAAATATTCAAGGAGGAGTGAATGTAAATTTCTTTTGAATTTCCTATAGGTAGCTCAAGCTTCACATATATTCTGTGGTTTGGGGATAAGTCTCATTGGTTCCCTCCAAAGGCCTATGTGGTGAATAGTAAAAGCTTGGTCCCTAGGTGGCACTAATGAGAGATGGTGAAGCATTAAAAAGAGCAGTCTTGTGGGAGGTTTGTAGGTCCATGAGAGACTGATATAGTCCTTGCTTCTACCCCTTCAGTCCCTTGAAGAGGGAGAGAGTTACAGAAGGTGCAACTGGCACCTCCCATCCTCCCTTCTCTAGGTTCTGTATGTTCTCCTTTCCTTCTTCACATCTTCCATTGCTGTCTGTGCATCTAAGTGCAGCCTAGCCATATAGTTCATGCTGTGTTGGTAGATTCTGAACTGCAAATGCTATGAACTAAATAAACCTCCCTTTAATAAGTAGCATATACAATGCCATATGTTTTGTTTTAGTTTTGCAAAGCTGATTATTGCCATCCTGATGGCCAAATGATTCTTTTCCCTGAAAATATTTTTCCTCCTTGTTTTTTTTTTCTAATTTAAATTTTATTGCAAAGGTGTTGTACAGAGAGGTTACAGTTACATAAGTCAGGTAATGAGTATATTTATTTTTGAACAGTGTTACTCCTTCCCTCATTTTCTTACACTTTTCCCCCGTCTGTCCCCCCTCACCCTCAAGTTGTAAAGTTCAGTTCTAACATAGTGTCTAGTGAGTATTACTGTTGAATTGGTCACCCTTTGTCCCACAGTTTCTGTGATTCCCCTATCCTTCCCCAAATCAGATAAATTTATGTATAAGAAAAATGTTACAGAAATTTAAAAAAAAAACAGTGAAAATAGGAAATACACTAAAGGAATAAAAGAAATAAAAAAAATAGCTGCAATACAGTACAATGAACAAAAACACCTCTTGTTTCCATTTTTTGGAGTTTATTTCGATAAGCATCATTTTATATGGTCATATGCACATAGCTATTGAGCCATTGTGATCTTCTCCTAAGAATCTCCTCCCTTGTTCTCAGTATGCAAGTGTTTGAGTGCTGTTTATTTAATCATGTCCAAGTGTAATCATTTGTCTTTTATTATCTGTTGGGTGAATGTATAGATTTATAGACATAGTCTAGTTAGTATGAATGTAAACTTGTCCAACCACTCTGGAAAGCAGTGTGGAGGTTTCTCAAAAGACTAAACATAGAGCTTCCCTATGACCCAACAATCCTACTTCTAGGCACTTTCCCAGATAACCACAAACCAGGCCATGCTAATGCCACCAGTACAGTCTTTCATTTTTTAAATCTTTGTTCTCCTCACCTACCCCCATATTATAACACTTTGTTTCAAGCCTGAAAAACTACAAAACACTATATTCATCCTAGAGTACTCTGCACTTATTTTCTTCTGTCAGCCAGATACAAATTCTTTTGGATTCTCTAATCTCATTTCCTTCCTACCTATATCCTTGCTTTAAGGTCTGTAGTAGCCTTCTAGTTAATTTTTTCACTGATAGTATTTATCTTTCAATCTGTTTTCTATACTAATACTAGTTGGGGCTTCCAGAGTATAAACTTGATTATGTTAATTTCTTAGTACACATACTTTCATGACTCTCTGGCTTTTAGGAAAAAAAAAAAGTGGTTGTTTATTTTGCAATTCTTCTCAACAGTGTCATTCCTATGTTTACTTCTGGCTTGTTTCCATACTTGCCTCTCTGCCCCTTCTCAAGAGTTGCTTGGCATTTCTTCAACTATGCACTGTGCTTTTGCTTTTGCTTGAAGAGCTATCTGCACTGCTCATCTAACTGTTCTCAAACCTGAAGTGAAGCCTCATTTTCCTCTGTCTTTAGTGCTGATAGTATTCAGGGATTTGTAGTGGTTATTTCACATTTACTTCATCACTAGGCAGTACTTACTCCAAATTTTGACCATATTCTGTTCAGCTCTGTCTGTAGCAGTTGCTACTGTGAAGGACAAGTCACAGGACACAGGTTTCAATATTTGTTGTATCATGGGAAATAGGTAGGTTGGGACTAGATCCCAGGGTGTTTTTAGCTATTGTTAGTATTATAAGGAAGCTACTGACACTTAAAACATAAAGGAGTTATTATGTGACCTGTACTTTACAAAGAATAGCAGTATTCAAATACATACAGAAAACATTGTAAGAGAGAAGATAAACTTGGGTTTGAACATGTTTTCTGTCTTGTTTAACTTGTCTTGGAAAGTTCAGTACTAGAAGAGAAGCTGGCATGGTGATAGGGATGTGGAAATGAGCAGTTTGTGAATGAGTCTGGAAGATGCCATTATGAGAAATGTAGAATGAGGGAAGCAGAGGGATGAGTACTGTAACAGGTACTGTAGCATGTCAACATTAACTTTGGGTCTTGGGGGAATATTAAACCTAGAGCAAAAATTGGTAGGAAACAGTCAAGAAGTAGCAACAGAAAATACTGTGTTCTAATGGAACATACAGAGAGAGCTTGCATGTGGAAACAACTTCTGTTTGTAATTCATGTGGGAGCCGACCATGTCTACTGTGGAAGATGGAAACATTTCACAGGGTATGTTTTCAGTGTGGTGGCCATTGACACCATGTATCTCTGTTGTGTACTTGAAAATGGCTAGTATATCAGAGTACCAATATTTTTAACTTATTTTAATTTGTATTGATTTAAATTTACTTTTACATAACTTTATGGCTGGGGCCTATGATATTAAGTAGCATAGCTGTAGAAAGATCAACTAATATGAGGCTGTGAGAAGTCCAGAAGAATTGGAATTTGGTGACCCATGACACTTTTTTTTTCCCTTTTTTGAATGAAGGAGTGATTGCTGAGTTGTAGTGGATAATGAAAGGAAAGGAGTTCAGCAGGTTGGAATACTGAGTATGAGCTACGAGCATTCTGAAACACTTGACTTTGGAGGAAAAACTAAGATAGTGTGAGAAGGGCTCTAAGGGACGAGATGAAGGACCTGAGTAGAAAAGCTGAAAATTCAGTCCAGGTGTGAAGCGAATCTATTTGCAGGTCTGTGGTGAAGCACTTGTATATGAAATAAGACACACATATTAAGGCCAATTTTGCATGTTTTCTCTCATATGTGGAATGTGTGGAGGAAAAAAAAATAAGGCATGAAAGGAGTAGTATTTTTGCCAGGGAGGTGGAAAGGGTCTAGGGGAAAGAGAGGGCAAGAGACAATAGTGTATGTGTGTATGTGTATGTGTGTGTGTATGTGAAAATTATTAAACTTTGTTATATGTGTATATAAAAACATCACAAGAAAGCCCAATATTTCGTACAATTACCATGTATTGTAAAAGACAGATATCTCTCCACCTTTGGGGTCTAAGCATGGTTTGGTTTGTAGGTAGTCACTTCGTTAGATTTAAGATTTTTTTAGAGCCTTTGTAGCAATGGAATGATGATTAATTCATGCTTTGTGTGGTTTGAGTAATAAATGATCTTTGGATAGTTTTTACCTAGTGGTTTCTTTATAAAGGAGCCCAGGATGGCAGTAAAGATCAGTAGCCTATGTTTACTTTCCTCACTTATAAAATGGAAATTAAAATATCTACTTTTACCGAATTTTGGTAAGGAAACATAAACATGACTTCTATGCTTGAAAACTAAAGAAGTGGCCAGTGGCTCATGGGGGCTGCATAGAATCTCTGCCTTTTGCCTAGTTTTCATTGGAAACCTTAAGCTACTCAAAAAAAGACTCTCTCAAGTGTAATTGAAACTTTAGTTGTAAGGACGTAGTGTGGTTTTATCTGAATATCTCAGGCTAAATTGGTATAAAGTATGACTTAAAATCTCATAGTTTTACTAGCCACATAGTGGTTAACTGCCTCTCTTCCTTAAAATTCAATTGCTAAAAGAAAAGCCCTGTGTAAACTATCAAGTTGCCACTTACCATTTTCCTGGTTGATGTTTGACTGTACTTAAAGAGCAGATGCTACTGAAGGATACATTTGTGTCTTGTATGATGATATGATTTTTTTCTCTATTTTTAAGAATGAGACATATTTGTTCTTCATTATAAGATACTACTCTATAAAAATTCAAATTTTTCAGTCCTGATGATGACAAAGTGAAAATGATTTGAGTGAAAGGAGGAAATTTATGAGTGGTCAAACTAAATTAGAAAGATCATTGGATTTACCAGATTTTATTGTTTGTTTTCCCTTCAGAAAATTTTGCCCTAGGGGCTTTGAAAGACTAATTTATCATTAATCTCTCAAAGTTTTTAGGGGATAATCTACAAGAAAAAGTCTCATAAGTTCGTGTAGTAGAGTGGAGGTATTAATAAAAACATTAAAAATGGAATTGTAAATCATGTTGATAAACTGCAGATAAGAATCAGGTATAAGTTTTTTTCCAGGTGGAGGTCAGCAAAGAATTCAATGCTTGCCTTCTGTTATTTTACACAAAATCTGAATGATATTTAGGGAGTTTTGAGAAAAATGCCAAGGTCATGGGTAACTATGGCCCATTTTACTCTGCTGGGAGAAGAAGGTCATAGATTCCGTCTCTGGCTTTGTCCCCTCTTTTGTGAATGAGTGATTTTGGAAGGACTTGGAGGTACCTAGAGAAAAGAAATGGCCGACTTATCAAAAATCTAACACTGCTTTTGAAAAACTAATTCAGAACTCCGTGTTCTATTGATGGATCATTAAGAGTCCTATTTTTGTGTGAAGAATAGTGCTTTTCATTTCTATCTTTCTCTCTTATTTTCCCGTTTCAGTTTGAAAAAGAGTTTGCCGACCACCAGGAAACCCAGGTTCAATTGCAGAAAAAAGAGGCAAAGATTAATGAGCTTCAAGCAGAGTTACAAGCTTTTAAATCTCAGGTAAAATACCATCCCAAGTGAATCTGGTATTGTAACCCCAACAGGGGAGTAGAGATCATGTTACATCTTCGCAGCATCAAAATGTTTAAAGTTTAATTTCACTTGTATGTTTCCATAATATTGTTCATATGTATTTCTATGCTGCTATGCTTATTTTAATTTTTTTTTAGTTTTACTGTAAGTTTTTACTAATTAACCCTGCTTCCATTGTTTCATTTGGGTTTTGTTCCCAATGTCAGATGTTTCCTAGGTAATTAAGCCAGAAAGGTTAAGAAAGTTTCATCCTGTGAGATTTGCCATTCATCACTGATCTTTACCCCACTACAGGAAATTATTGCTGAAACTATTTATTTTTCAAAACCTTCAACCTATGGGTACCTTGCAGGGAAAGATAACCTCTAATGGAATGAGAACATTTTCTGATAATTTTTCAATTTCCCAAAGTAAACAGATTTAAAACATGACAAAAAAAAAGAGAGAAAATCTGGATTATAAGCAGATAGCTCACCTACACGCTTTACACATAAAACATTAGATAGCAAGAAATACATCATCTGCATGCTTTATGAGGATGTAAGTAAGAGGGAAGAATATTCATAGGTAAATGTCCTCATGCAGATTTACATGTAAGATGATGAGCAATAAATTCAGCTTTGCTATTTTTCTTTCATCATTGTGTAGGAATAATCTAGGGAGTTCTGTTTCTTATATTTTGGCAATTTTGTTTTCTTTACGATACTCAATGAATACTTGCTATGTTATTCTCTCTAAAGACTGCTTGAGCAATAGCTGTTTGTATTCAGTTTTATTAAACAATCAAAAGTTCTTATATCTAAGAAAATTATTCTCATTGATCTTTTTTCTTTAAGGTTCTAAAAAAAAAAGTACCACATTTCACTGACTTTTTCCTCTTTCTTATATGACTCTTTACCTTGTATATTAAAAGAATCGTTTGAGCCTCGTGCTGGTGGCTCATGTGGTGCATGTAATCCAAGCTACTCAGGAAGCTGAGGTCTGAGGATCGCATTTCAAAGCCAGCCCAAGCAGGAAAGTCTGTGAGACTCTTATCTCCAATTAACCACCAGAAAACCCGAAGTGGCGCTGTAGCTCAAGTGGTAGAGAGCTGGCCTTGAGCTGAAGAGCTGAGGGACAGCGCCCAAGCTATCCAGAATTCAAGCCCAATGATTGACAACCCCTCCCTCCTCCCCCCCCCCCCCCCCCAAACAAAGAAACCAAAGAAGTGACAAAAGAATCATTTGATTGTGTTTTGTACTTCAATTTGACTTATAGACAGACAGTGGCAGAAATATTGATGCCAAAGTTTTCCTGTTTTGGGATAGTATACATTTTATTAACTTTTTAAACTTCTTTTCTTTTTAACTTTTTTCTTTTTTTTTCTTTTGGGTCCGGTTGTGGGGCCTGAACTCGGCCTGGGTGCTGTCCTTCAGCTCTTCAGCTCAAGGCTAGCGCTCAACCACTTGAGCCACAGCACCATTTCCGGCTTTTTTTTTTCTTTTTGCTTATGTGGTGCTGAGGAATCGAACCCAGGGCCTCATGCATGCAAGGCAAGTGCTCTACCACTGAGCCACCTTCCCAGCCCTAACTTCTCATTTTAAGAATTTTTTTTTTTTGTGAAAATACTGTACAGAGGGGTTACAATTACATGGGCAAGATAATGAGTACATTTCTTATCAATTGTAGCCTCCTTTGTTTTCCCTTCCCATCCCTTCCCATCCTCCCCCCGCTCCCCAAGAATTATTTTGAAATCTACTTAAAAATTCTAAGTTACAAAAATACATTCACAATTTTTGAGTAAGTTATTGTTGCGCAGTGGTGGTGGTGGTGTTTTGTGTGTGTGTGTGTGTGCGTGTGTGTGTGTGTGTGTGTGTGTGTGTGTATTGCTACTGGTATTGGGGCTTGAACTCAGGGTCTTTGCTCAGCTTTTTCACCCCTAGCTAGCTCTGAGTAGTCTTTATTGAAGAAGTGGCATATTCTCTTTATTTATGGTTTATGTTCTAGTGGTTGCCCTTTTCACTTCCTGTCATTAATTCATTTATCAACTACAATTCTTTAACATGTTAGTTGCTGCTTTTGGTGCTAAGAAATTAGTGATTATTATGGTGATGTCACTTCCCCTGTCAAGAGTTAATTGAACATGATTCATTATGTGATTATTTCACACTGGTAAAAACTATTGAGAAATTCAATATTCTATAGCTATAAAATTAGTAGGCAGAACAAGCATTCATTTTGGGGGAAGGAACATATTTAAACAGGCAGAAATGGGCTATTAGGAAATGGCCAGCTGAAAAGACAGTTCCATACAGAGAAACAAGATGTACCAGAGACTTTATGAAATGCATAAGTATCTAGAACTAAAAAAAAAGTTACTTGGAAGAGCAATTGTTATAATATAGTTTTTTAGGTACCTTCCTAGAAATTTTTCCCTAATGTATATTAGAAACCATTGGGACATTGTTAATGAGATTTGAGCCAAGATAACATATGGACATGCCATTTAAACATATCTTGGATTATTATTATTATGTCATTATTGCTATATTAGTTATATATGTCCTGTCTGAACAATGATAATTTATTGATTGCTAATTGACTGATTGTAACAGCATTTTTCTGTTTTGCCTCAAATTCACTGTGCAGCCCACGTTAGCTTCAAATATACCATCCCTCCTTCTGTGGCCTCTTGAGGTTAGGGATTAAAATTGTGCCTCTTATTCCACAGTTATTTTCTCATGTTCTATGTTCTCTAAATTCTGAGTGAACTCATCTCCTACGCACTCCTGTCACCTGGGATAGCTAATTTCCAGAGCTTTTAGATTCATATCCTAATTTCTGGGTGTGTTTAACCTATATAATCATGATTGCCTTTCAGTGGCGATTTGCAATTCTGACAATTGCTTATTCTTGAGGACAAAAACTATAATTCCTAATTGGAAGAAATATTTTTAAGTTAAGTCATACAAAAAATACTCAGTTACTTTTGGTCTAAAGTAGTAACATTATTTAGGTAAAAGATACTTTTACATAGACATGTTCTTAGTTCCATTCTTACCTTTTTCTCTAGTTTGGTGCTTTGCCAGCTGGTACAAAAATTCCTTTGCCAGCATCCCAAGAAGATGGAACCAGCCATCCAGCAGTCCCTCCTGCCCCTCTACTGCCTATTAGTGGAGTGGCGCCACCTCCACCACCCCCTCCACCACCACCACCTCCTCTTCCTGCAGTGCGGATGCCATGCGGTGGTCCTATACCTCCACCACCTCCTCTGGGACTTTTCAGCGGACCAGACTCTCTTCCTCCTCCAGTACTGCCATTTGGATTGAAACCAAAGAAAGAATTTAAACCTGAAATCAACATGAGAAGATTAAACTGGTTAAAGGTAAGTCACATAAAGAAAAAAACACTTTTTTATAGATTAGAATTTAGTTTTAGATTTACTAATATATAATTTACAGTGGGACTCCAAATCAAAGTGGTAGTAAATGAAGTATGTGTGTGTGTGTGTGTGTGTGTGTGTGTGTGAGAGAGAGAGAGAGACAGAGAGAAAATGAGTGTTATTAAATGGAAGTGTTATTAAAGCCCTTTACTATTTTCTAAGAGTTTGCAGTTTATCCATTTGGTGGGAGGTGATATTTTGGAGGGATCTGATTTGTAGTTAAGTTGATATGTCACCATATTTGTGATGGTATGTGTATTTCTCAATAATATAAAAATGTTGCTATACTTAGGAACTTATGTCTATTGGTAGTTACCAATAGACATAATTATTTGTATTATTTGTCAGAAGCTGATACTTACAGGAATTCTTAATCCTGCAGAAAGTTTGTTTCACAGTCATACCAGCTTGTGTTATTTCCTTTAAAAGTCAAAGTACAAATGAGCATCCATAATGACTCAAATACAACTGAGAAGATACAAATTAAACTTTATTCAGTTGCAAATTCCCAACTATTTTGTCATGGCAATCTCTTCTCAGAAGATCTTAATATCCTGCAAATTTGTCTTTCATTGAACAGACTTCGGGGGTAACCTTACAGAGATTACTTCATACATACTTCTGGCAGCTATGGGATGTTGGGGTCTGTACGCAGTGATTGGGCTGAGACAGGTGAAGAAACCAGCTGTTTTATGCATCCGTCTTCTCTCAATTGCAGATCAGACCTCATGAAATGTCTGAAAACTGTTTCTGGATAAAAGTAAATGAAAATAAGTATGAAAACATGGATCTACTTTGTAAACTTGAGAACACATTCTGTTGCCAACTAAAAGGTAAGTTTTTCATCTGCCTCTTAATTTATTTTGAGAATTTTAACATTGTCACTTTTTATACCAGACTCTGAAAAAACATTACGAATCCTTTACCTGATATTTTTATATAGTTAATGATAGTACAAAATTTTTAAAATGCAAATTTTGTTACACAGTATATCAAATGAGCAATTGGAAAAATGAAAATGATCAAAACAAGCTTTGTTTCTTACATTTTCTGTGTGAAAATTTGTTTTGAAGATTTCCGTTAGTGTAAATTAATTTTATTTATTTTTTTGTTGTTGTTGTGAAGAGGGAGATTTTCAAAGCAAATTTTGGCATAGAATTTCCTTTAGTTAGAATGTTAGATTAAACAAAGTATGAGCCTTACTCTAGAGAGAACTTTGGTAACCCCTAGTATTACAGTGACTGTCACATAATTAATTGGCATATGTAACATGTGATAGTATCTTCAAATTTATAATATCTTTGTGACTGACTTGAAAGAAACATAATGGAGTATATGACTGTTTTGTTAGGTGCAATAGTGTTCATTTAAAAAATTATTTTGTCACAGCTTTAATCTGTGTGGTGTGATTTAAAAAAAATAGCCTTTAGTTTTGTATGTATATTTCATGTTTCATTTAATCTCATGCGCTTACACTTACACTTTAAGACTGGTATCAATATTTGTTAACATAATGTATATCTATTTTATATTTAAATTTATATTTTAGAGCAGAAGCACAAAGCACTTAGATTAACTTTTATTTTTGTTTTCTTGTCCAACAACCCTTTTCACTATATATTTAATGATATCTCTATCCCTCTCAGAGAAAAATCGAGCTACAAAGTTTCAGATAGGAAGCCTTTGTAAGATTTGCCTTCTTAAATGTCTGTTTACACCGGGCCAGCTAGAGATGCATCATCAAACTTTTAACTTGATCCTCATAGCCATGAAAGAATATTGGCCGATCAGTTAACAAGTTGACTTTATAAAGTTATTTGCATTTTTTGGAAATTATTTCAAGAAAATTAGTTGTGAATTAGAAACTTTCTGATAGGTAATTGTAAAACAAAATAGCTTTCTTAATTTTGTGTTAAATCAAAAGTCATGACTAGATATTCTGAGCAGGATTTGTCTTAAGTAAAATATTTAAAATGATACATCTCAGTTTTTGAAAACGGGGAGACGTTTCCTACCAGCTTACCATGGGAAAACTTGTGGAGTAAGCAGATCTTAATTTTACCTTTTGATTATGGAGAATCAAAATTTTCTATGAATAAGATTAGTGCACTCTTTAGGCAATCAAGGAAAATGTGTGGCAGTTAGAATATGTATTTACATGTAAAACACTTCAGAATTTCATATTTCATAATCTGGAATTGATTAGTTTTCCCTTTGCTTTGCCTAGTAGGTGCAAATGGTGATACCTAGAAGCTATTTAAGTAAAGCTGACATCCAGCTTTCTTTTTTCTTCCCTCTTTGATTACTTTCTTAATTAATGAGGCTCAAAAGGGAAACTTGTTAGCATGTCTTTAATTTAGCTGTAGTGTTAGCCCTAAATGAAATAATTGAACTTTTAAAAAATTCTTAAGTCATCTAGCCTAAAGCCCTGAGATTCAAAGTTGAAAAAAATAGGTGTATTTGTAGAATCTAATTCTAGTTATAAAGATTAAGCTTAGAAGTGATTATCATTTTCTGAATATTTTATTTCCATCTTTTTTTCTGCTTTCTCAGGGCCTTTGTACATGCTGGGCCTAGGTCCAGATTCTCTTTCACTTGACCCAGAAGCTGACAGAGCACTACAACATCTTTTGTCTCTGCTCAAATGCAGTTACCCTTTGTGACTGCGGATGGTATTTCAGGGTGAACAGAAAAGATGAGGAAGCCCAGACTTGTGACCCTGAGCAGTTCCAGCATTTCATTATATCAACTAGAGATAAGCTGACAAACTATCTATTTTTTTATTCAGTCTCTTTAAGGAATAATCCCAGGAAGTATAATATGAAGAATGTTAGAATGCATTTTCGTCTTGTTTGTAGTTAAGGATTTTAGTGGAGAAGACCAATTATTTCTACTTTTAGAGAAACAGATTTGTAGTATGGATCGTTAATAGGAAACAGCAGAATGGAAGGAAATAGAAAGATGTTTAGAAAGCTTAGATAAGAACATCAGCTTATGTAGGCCTATTGGTCTCCATTTATGGCCTGGTAGTCAAGAATGTTAACACTGGCCTTATACTTCCAAAGATTTTTTAAATACACTCTGTAATTTCCAAAGCACTCAGGAGCAAACCTGGCAACTTAAGCAAGCATCATTCAGTCCAAGATGAAAATCTAGTTGACACTCTCCTCTACAGCATGCAGATGAATTGCACAAATGCATTATCTTCTGGCTGAGTTTGATTATTGGTTTGCATCATAACTAGGAAGAGAAAAAGAATCCAGATTACAGGAGAGCATGGTAGGCTTTTAGAGAAATAACATGTGTCTGGTTTTTTTGTTTGTTTGTTTCTTCTGTGATTACAGAGATGGCTTTTCTACTTTGGCATTTAAATGAAAGATGCCAATCCTGCATGACCATTTCAAGTAGTAAGAATTAAAGGAACTGAATTCAAAGAGAATTCAGAAATTTTCTCATGCATGATTTATTTTCTGATAATAAGTATGGCCTTATTAAAAAAAACTGATTAATCTTACTGTAGACATTGCTTTAGGTTTGTTGGGGTTTTTGTTTCTAATACCCTGAGAGTTCAGCTCCCAGAGAGTTAGTTTCTGGAGCTGTGTATTCTTTATGTTACCTGTTTAATCTTCATCACAATCACGGCTGATCTCTTTCTCCTGCTGTTTTGATTATAAGATAATTTTTTTTAATCCCAGTATACCATCTTACTCCATATATCCAAATAGAACAGAGTGTTTTTGATGAGGATATAGACATTTTCTCTTAACTATTGAGGCATTTATATTATTTCTCTTTTTTAATTTTGTTGCAGGCAGTGTTTTGATTTTTGGCTGTTGTTTTTGTTATGGTCCTGGGGTTTGACCTAAGAGTCTGAATGCTGTCCTTGAGCTTTTTTTTTTTTTTTTAACTTGTTGTTGTTGTTGATAGTAGGGCTTGAACTCAGGGCCTGGGCATGTTGTGCCTGAGTTGTCTTGCTCCAGACTAGCACTCCACCACTTTAAGCCACAGCTCCATCCAGTTGTCTGGTGGAGATGAATCTCATAGACTTTTCTCTCCCGGCTGCCTTTGAACCACGGTCCTCAGGTCTCAGCCTTCCGAGTAGCTAGGATTACCAGTATGAGCCATTAGTATCCAGCTCCCTTAGCTTTTTTGCTCAATTAGTACTGTGCCACCAGAGCCACAGCTCTGCTTATAGCTTTTTGATGGTTAATTAGAGATATTTATCTCTTGGACTTTCTTGCCCAGGCTGGTGTTGAACAATTATCCTCAATTCTCAGCTAAGATTACAGGCATGAGCCATCAGTGCTGGCTGTTAATTTGTTTTTATTTTTATTTTTTTTAATCTTCCTGTTGTCATCTATAACACTGGCTCATTGAGCAAGTGCCTTGTGACATATTGTAAGTTTTAAGACCTCTCTTCAAAACTTTCTTGTGAAATCACCCCCCCATTTGCATCTATTCCCATCTTAAAAAAAATAGTTTATTTGTTGTTCACTAGCTCATTTTGACTTCCTTCTCTCATCTAAGTTTTTGAGATACCATGCACATTTGTAGATTTTACTTTCTTCTGAATTATAAAAAAAGACCTTTTCCAGATTATCCTTTTTGTCCTCTTTTCTTATTCTGTTTTGACTTCTTCCTCCCCCCGCCCCACCCTTGGACTACCATTTTTCAAGCCAATTAGTATTTTGCATGTTTAGCACTAGTGACATGGGAGTAAATAAGGCAGACCAATACTTATTGCTCTTTCAGTCTTAATAAAACCCAGAATGAGGAACAGAACAATAAATACTCATTTTGATGTTTGAAGACACTGTCATATTTTCATGTCTTTGGCTTTTGTGAAGACCTAGGAGAAAACATGGTTGATATATCTCTCTGAAATTTAATCACAATATTCATTTATTGAACATTTGGTTACATCAAAAATGGTAATGTTATATATTATCTATCTATCTATCTATCTATCTATCTATCTATCTATCTATCTATCTATCTATCTATCTATTTGGTAGGGCAGATTAGAAGCGTCTATTGGTTAATTTTTTCAGGGTGTTGGAAAATGGATTAAAGTATCCTAACACGTTATTGGTGTTAGAGTTGTCAACTAAAATTAATATTAATTACTTTCACTATTCATAGATTGTTAACTTAATATGGATTAAAGGGTCTTGGAAGTATATGAGTACTCTAATTTTGCTAGACTGATTTATTATGAAAATCTGGTTGCACAATTGTTAGCTTTTTGAAGTAATTACATTTTATAACAGGTGCATCATATTTGCCAGATAGTGCTAATAAACTGATTTATAAATAATTTCTCAATTGAATAGCTGTGGCATATGGAAACAGTTAATGGATTATGTACTTAAAAACAAATCAAGCTTAGATTTCCAACCTCATAGTTCAGTGGACAAAATATTGAGTAGTAAGTGATACACCACAGATTATCCCAGTGTCTTGGCTGTGTCTAAAATGTCATTCTATAATTACACATAATTTTTTTCTTGATACAGAAAAGTGTAAAAAGCATTCTAATCTTTTCTTAACCTACATTAGGATGAACAGTATAGTTTATGACAGAAATAATGTTCACGAGGGTGTATGGTGAGAAAGATAGGCTAGGTTGAATTCAGCAGTTGGAAGGTTTCTGAAAAGGAAAAATGCTAATTTGGAGAAATTGGGGAAAAAGAAATTAGGAAATGAATATTTGTCTAGAGATAAATGATTGGGTTCTTTACTGTGGCTGAATTGCCGAAGAACTAATTATAAAATGAAATTATGAAATAGGTAGAGAATGTCTTGTTTCATCATTAAAAAAATATCACCTTGT